TATATATATATATATATATGTATATGTATATATATAATTGTTAGCAGGGTACTGGGGACAACAAAAATAAAAGGGCAGTGAGAGTGTGCAGCTGGCTGGCGTGTCAACAGTAGTAAGACATGAAATCAAATTAAAGCACCGTATATATTGGCGTTTTAACAGCGCGCGCGCGCGCGCATATATATTGTACAAAAGGGCGTAGTACATAGCCACAACAGAAACAGATTATCGTTTATGCATATCTGTATATATATAAATGGCCTCCTCTTGGCAAAAAAATCACCATCCTGATCCAGAATACGATCAATTTTATCAATATAGCCAATTAGCTGCGGCCGCAGGCCAACGAGAATTAGTCGAAGAAGAACAAGATCAAGAAGACTGGCTTCAGCTTCAGTTGGGGTTGGGGCTCATCAGCAGCAGCAGCAACAGCATTAATAGCAGTAGATTAACTAGGAAGGAGAAACATCACCAACATCATCATCATCCTCATGATCAGCAGATATTATTGACAGATTATGCTAATTCAAACAAAAATATTGCAGCTGCAGCTAGAGCTGGAGCTTCTACTTCTGTCATGCAGCAGATGAGCACGAGGCATATTACAACTAATGATCATCACGGCCATGTGGGGCCTAGTTTTATTGATTATCCTGCATCATCGTCTTCACCAGCAGCCCCTGATCATCATCATGATCTGCATATTGGTGCTACTACTGCTAGCTTTCTGCAGGGTGTTCACGAATATGATCACTCCCAATCACAATCCGAACTACATATGGCGCTTCCAAGTACTAGTACTAGTCCTACTTCCGTCTCCCTAATCCATCATAATCCTTCCGGCTTATCAACCACCAAATCTGGTTTGTGGTTTACGCTCCGCTCCTCTCTCAACCGGTGAGCGCATATATGTACATACATAGATTTTCTTACAATGTATGTATATGTTTATCACTGATTAATTAACCCGATCATTTTTTTAATATTCAAGTTCCCGTTAATTAGGGTATATTATATAGACAAATGGAGTGCACATATATTTACACCTCTTCGTCCAGATTACCTTTGTCCATAATGATCTGTGCTGCATGTGCATAGTGATAAAATAGTTTAGCTTGTTTCAAGCAAAAAAATTGCTTAGGTTGTATTGTAGTCTTTGTCGCTTAAATTGATGATCTGTCTTTAATTCCTTCTTGGGTCTTTCTCTCTCTGTTTGAATTACATGATATCTGCACTTCATTATAATAATTTGTTTTGCCCATGCATGCACATATATACATCATCGATCTTCTTATTTCTAGTAATTTACCTTTTTTCCTTTTTTATAAATATACATATGCATATGTTCATGATGATCATGATGATGTACATACACTTGGCTAGCTACTGGCTACTGGTATGGCGATCGATGATCAGATTTTGTATGTTTTCATGATCATATATGAGATTGAGTATATGTATGAATCATCATGATCAGGTAGTCGAAATTGATGTGTACATTGATTTAGTGGTGCACTACTACTACTATACTAGTACTGATGATGGGTTGTGGCTGCTGCTGCTGCTGTTGTTTATGCAGGGAATTAGGTGAAAAAGGGGAAGCGCTCCCACAAATACAAAAGCCGTACATTAGAGTGAAGTAAGTACACATGGTGCACGTTAGAATGAAGCCATGATCATATCAAACGCTACAATATTTTCCACAATGCTAATGATGGTGTTCAGTGAAATGAGTATGAGAAAGAAAGAGAAAGAAAAAGGCTGACGTTACATCACCCTTTTGATTTTTCTTTTTTTCTTTTTCTTTCTTCTTTCTTTTTTTTTTTTAATTTTCTCTCAGTCTCTCTTCCTAGCTAGGCGCTCCTCTTTCTAATTTCTTTTTCCCTCTCTCTCCCACCGCCATATTTATTTATGTTTCTTTCTGTTATTGAAAAAATATTAAAGGGAGTACGAGAACGTGACGATTTTCATGGTGAAGAAGTACCTCGTTAGAAAACTTGGTCTCTCCAACGAAGCTGAGGTACGAAAATTTCAAACTCAACCAACCTACCTAGCTATAGCCAATACAAAAAAAGCAATTAATTAGGAAATCGCAGAAATAAAAGACTACGCATCCCATGCATGAGATTGAGATTATTGGGGTGGTACGTCTTATAATTATTTCCTCATCAGTCATTTTAAAATGTAAGTGTGTGTATATGTATATATATGTATGTATGAGGCTGCGATCGGTCGAGTCTCATCCGAATCAGAGCAGCAGCTAAACGCAGTAGTGATCATTAAAATGGATATATATACACACACACACATATGTCGCATCTGAGCAGAAAATTGGGTGGTCGATGCATGTAGGGGCTAAGGCTAAGGCTAAGGCTATGATGAAATTAGGCTTAAAATATATATAGTATAGTATAGGCAGTAGCATTAACCAGTAGTAGTAATTGTACTGTATATGTGTTTAGTGGGTTCCAATCCAATGTAGGGCGATGATGATGTTTTTTTTTTTTTTTTTTTTTTTTTAATCTACAAGCTGCATTAATCAATTAATATTTGCATGGCCGGTTCCTTTGATCAGTTCATTTCTGGAATCATCAGCATTATAACGGTAGGCAATTTATTTCACATAAGATCGTACTTACTATTTATTATAAGTACATGTTATTAAACTAGAAACCTGATCTAGCTTGCATTATATATAATACTAATAAAAGACCTTATAATAATTTTTCAATTAATAAGATGGTTGCAGCTAATTAATGGAATGCGGGAAACCGTGCTAGCTTTTCACAATTTTCCATAGCATATTAATCATTCGATTTGGTATTCTCAATAGAAGAGAAAAGCTTATCAAGAAACCCAAGTTCTATATCTCTCTCTCTGGTTTTTTTTTTTTTTTTTGCTGGTGTCACAACTTAGAAGAAATAAATAGACAACCGTTTAAGAAACCACAAAAATACTCAAATCAGATTAGTATGACATACAATAGCTAGCAATGAGATTAAATTTCGAGAAATTTATTAGAGAAATGCCAAAAAGAAACTCATGCATGCGTAGTGGATCACGTGCCAAAGTGCATGATAATATATATATATATATATGTTCTTAATTGTTATTTTTTTTTTTTGGGAAATGACAGATTGATATATGGTGTATGGGGCAGAACTTGAAGCATACACAGACATTGAAGCAAATAAGGGATGGTGTGTGGCTGCCGAGATTGGTAGAATCTGTGAATTCAGCTGCTGTTGCTGCAGCCTCTATTAATTTTGACGATGAACAACAACGTGACTTTCCTAGCCTCTCCTTTTCAAACCACTTGATGTCTTTGCATTATGCAAGACGCTAGCTACATCTTCAACTAGCTACCTAGCTAGCTAGGGCAAGCTTTTAAGTTTTATTATCTAAACAAGTTAAATTTGGTTTCCTAATTATTTGTATGAGATATTTCAGTTTAATTTAATATATATGAATGTCATTTATCAGTACACATGTAGATATTTTACACTATTTTATCTCATGTATGTATAACGCTGGTTCCATTGGATGAGTCCACTAAGCTCAGCTTAAGTCAACCATAGAATGACCTCGGCCGCAATTTAGAAGACCTGTTACGTTTGTTAATTCAAAAACGTCCTTAAATCCTCACATTTCTAGTATAAAAAATCTGTGCAAATATTAGGAGAGAGAAATGTGATTAAATAGAAGTAGCATAAACAAATCATCCAAATGTTAATAAGTTTTTATTAGATAGGCGTATCACGTAAATAATATGATGTGGTATACGCGATTTACTAAATAATTCCTCTAATTAAAGAGAAAGTGATAGGGGAATGGTAGCCAAGTAATTAATCATTTTATATGTTTACTTATTTGGTCAAACTAGATAAATGAATAAACTAATGATATTAGCATAATGTGAAGTGTGAACAAATTAAGGACGGAATCATGCGTCTTTATTATAGTTAGTAATCGGGTTTTGTGATTGACGTTGTTCTGTATTGAGCATTTCAGAGTATAGGTATAATGCTATATAAAAATATAAATAATTCTCTCGTGCCAGGGAAGCAATCAACTCAGACGCAGTCGCAAGTTATAATAGTACGGTAATATAGTAAACCATTGCTACTCATTCCCTAGAAGCCATTAAAAAAAAAAAAAAACAGCAAACAAACAAACTAGGGGATTTTATGATTAAAAAAAAAAAAAACAACAAGCAATTTGGGTCCCCATTTGTGTGGATGGGCTGGGTGGCAGGAAAAGCTAATTATAAGCAACAATAGTGTTAAAGAGGTCGTTCATTTTATTAATTTAAATTTTATTATAATAAAATATTATCATAAATAATTATATTTAATTTTTTATTATAATAAAATTTTTTTACATAAAATCACATCTCAATTTAAATTAAAAACTCAAATAAATAAACCGTAATATTAATAAGTGTTGTGCATCAATCATTAATAAACAAAGTACATTAGCAAAAAAATTATTAATAAAATAGTAAGTCGGCAGCATGGGATTTATTGACTATTAGTAGTGAGTATTTTTGACTAAACAATAGTGAAACTTCGCTCATATATCATGTGGCCATTTTGAACAAGGAAGGCATATTTGAGTGGAGCTGCCAACGGGATTAGAATTTCGAGGGAGACACACACACGTGAATCAAGCGCGACTACCATTACAACTTATAAAAATTTAGGAAATGGAAGAAAAAATAAGGTAAAATAGAGAAACAACAAATTAGCAATGGCAATGGTAATGGCATTCATTATTGCTTTCTTAATTATTATATATATATATATATATGCGGAATTCACAAGTAAGCTGCAGCATCATGATGATCTGCATGCAGCGTTGTTGATCTATTGCATTTGCATTTTCATTTGCATGCTTGACTACTCAATTGCTCATCACAACTCCACCAGCACTACCCCACTAGGAAGCTGCAAGGGCAGGGCCGCTAGCTCTATCCTCATCTCTTCAGTTTACAATTAATAATTAATCCACTACATATTTATCAAATGATAATTGGAATGAAGCCCTCAATTATCCATCACAACACACACACACACACATATATAATAATAATAATAATAATAATAATAATAATAATAAGCACATACAATAATCTATACTATTTTTGACATGGCATTTCTCTGTTCATTACACACATATATATATATATATGTATATATATGCGCGAATAAGGCGCAGCAGAATGTTGGTTTATTTCTGTTACGTTATGATTAAACTAATTATTTGTTAGATAGGTATTTGGGGGATTAGTTCTTCATATAACTCTCAAGTTGAGTTATATATACAATATGAGCAATGTCAGAATTAACTTACCTCGCAGAACTGTTTCAACTTTAGCTTTTCTCCGAAATCATATTTCTATCTCTCTCTGTTTTCTCGGAAAGAAAAAAGGCATATACATATATATATATATATATATATATATATTGTAATTGTAGTTAGTGGGAGGTGGTGCTCCATCTTTTTGAATATTAGTCTTGGACAGAGTCATTGCCAGATCATGCACGCCTACTACCTATGTCCATTTCTTATAGATGTGATTTATTAGTTATGTTCTTTTTTATTTATTTTATTTTATTTTTGCGAGGCCTGACTACATCTTTTCTTATGCATGCATTAGGAGACTGTAAACACACATTAATTTTTAACATTTTTAATTTAATAATTTCATGACGTTTACTAACATCGATAATATGTAATCACGATAATTAATATTTTTAGACCCGTTTAGTTTGTTGATTTGAATTTTTAATTTGAGTTGAGATGTGACTTTATGTGAGATTTTCTTTACTGTAATAAAAAAGTTAGATGTCGCTGTTTTTTAGAACTTTTTATTATAATAAAACTTGAATTTTAAACTCAAATCGATAAAATGAATGAGACCTTAATATTAGTTCATCACCCCTTCCGGTCATGCTCCCTCCCTCTGAGGCTCTGACTCTGTTTTCCAACAAATACCAACATTAACCTTTCATGACTCTTTCTCCGTTGAAAATAAAAACAATAACTTAATCAGTTCCTGTCTTTTTGAGACTGAGAATTTCTTAAGCTTACCGCCTTTATTCATGTTACGCCGAACAAATAAATAGGCGGACCTTTACTTTTTATATAAGCATACAATACAACTAAAATAAAATAAGTATCCAAATTAATGGAATTGTCAATATAAATGAATTGCTTGAAACACGTGGCAGGAGTCATTATTCAACTCCATTTTTTCACCACCAATGATGAAAAAGATATTATTGTTTTCTTGCCTTTAAATATTGTTGATATTCTCTCTTTGTAATTGATGATTCTTTTTTTGTTTTCCTTCTGCGCATCATTTCATGAAATAGATACTCATAGCATGTCTACAACGTTTCACAAAATTAACATTGACCTAGATATCAACAAATTAACTTACCAAGGAGTTAAGTAGTCTCACTATTGATCAATTAGTACTTTGAGAACCTTAAAAATGACATAATTTTAGAAAAAGCTTAGAAAAAGTTTAGAAAAAGCTTAAAAAAATTTAAATTTATAGTTTTTCCTTTTTTTAGAATTTTGTCCTCATATTTAAGGGTGTTTTTGACATTTTGAGGTCAACATTGAGTGTCACTGAAAGAAAGTATGAATTTGTGTAAGTAAAGTCACGTATTTGATGAGATTAAACAATTAAATACAGTAAAATAAATAAATAAATAATCTAAGTAAATATAAAGGCTGAAAAATGAGACAAGTTTATGTCATGGAAGGTCATTAATATAATGATCCAAAAATTTTATTGGAAAAAGAAATGGAAGGGCATGGGGTGACTATGGGTATGCTTGGTATATAAATTTTTATGAGTTTATAGTTTCGATTTTATTAGCGTGAAGGGAAGGGAAGGCAGAAAAAGAAACCACTGTGTGGTTCTGGTCTTCACACTCTTTAATATTCTATTCTCTTGAGAGGAGAGAGGAGAGAGAGGAATGAGACAAGAGGGCATCGGTTGGGTTTCGCTTTTTACCTCTTGTCTCTGTTCTTGCTTTGTTGGCACTCTCCCAATTCCTCCATTAATTAATTAATTATTTATAAATCTGCCATGCCTCGGCCCAACATTACATATATTGATTTTAATTTAATAGCATATAATAACAGTAACAAATATAAAAATCCTTACTGTCTTTGTATCTGTTGGGTGACCTCCCCAACCAAAATGCCCTTTTCTTCTTCTTCGTCTTCTTCTTCTTCTCTTTCAACAACAACAACAACAACAAATCACCACATTCCATTACTACTAGTACACTAGTTCTACTTGCAGAAGAAAAGCTACATTTTTGGCACAAGCAGAAGAAGAGGAAGAAGAGATTTTGTTTTGGCATTCAAGATCTCTCCTTTTCATTTTTATTTATTTATTTATTTGTTTTCCATTCTCTCCGCAATGCCAATGGGATTTATGCTAAGGATGGCTTCACATTCTTGTCATTATTCATTTGTTTTTGTGTTTGTGTTTGGAAATCCTTCTTTTCTCAAAACAAAAACAAAAACAAAAACAAAAACATTCTCTTTATCTTTCTCTCTCTCTTTTTTGGAAGAATGCCGTTAAAGATATCTCACAGTCTCACTCTGACTAGTATTTCCTGCTCTTTGCTAATCGCTAATTCCTAATTCCTTAGTTCCTAAACCTGATATTCACCACATTCACAATCACAATGAGCTTAGCAGGAGGAGGAGGTAAGTCTCACCCCGCCCCATTTCTTTTCTTGCTCCAGTTTTTAATCATATGCCAGCTCCCCATTTATTTTATTTTGTTTTCATTTTTGGATTATTTGTGTTCTACTATTGCATTGACATAGTGACAACTCACCCATTAATGATTATGCCACCATATTATTATTTGGCCTTGTACTTTTGGATACTAAATTGATTTACTAAAAAAATAAAAATAAAAAGATGGTTAATTCATGCTTTAGAACCACAACATTGTTAAGTTAATTTTTGGTCTTAAAGAATACATTCTCTTAAATTAAATGAAATGCACTTGTTTATTTGTTTGTTTAAGCTGGGTGAATCAGAATAGAACTGATTCTAAAATCTCAATCACTTTCCTATGGACGTGATAATTTTGTAGCTCTACAAATAACTTAGGGTGCGTTTGGTTTATAGATTAGAACCATGTGATTAGAATCATTTTCAATTTATGTGTATTTTTTGTGAGAGAAAATACTGTAGTGAACCACAAACCATGATTCAAATCAGGGAACGAATCTATCTACCAAACATCACCTTAGTTTGACAGACAGACTCTCTCTAAAGTTTGAACTGAATACTGATGATCGTCACCATTCACCAGGTTCTCAACATGATAATGATCTGGACTACTCATCATCCCCTTCCCCTGGGCCTGCCCTTACTTTCAGCAACTTTACATCTGGTTTGTACACTTAACTAGTATAAATTTTTGCATCTCATCTATCTCCTCCTCTCCCAGCTCGTCTCTCTTGAGTATAAATTTTTCAAAAATTATGCTTCTTCTTTACACTTGATTATCTCACTATGGTAAAGGAAAACCATTACTTGAATGAAATGGCCTTATTTATTATCAACCAAATTTTGGAAATGGTTCTCACAATCCTCTATATTACAACAACGAACAACAACAATGGCTCAGGTGTACTTTCACTCAATGATTTGGACATATCTTCGGAGCAAAGCTTGGACGGAAGTTTCAGGAAGTCATCAAACAGTGGTTCGTCGTTTAATTATTTTGCTTCTCTTGCTTTTTACTAAGAATATTCTCTCTTACAGTTACAAATGAGTGGCCCTTATTTATTTACACAATAAGCATTAAGAGGAGAATGTTAAGTTCATAAAAAAGCCAATAAACTTTAGATGTTGGCGTGTAATGCAGTTATCTCCGCGCATAGTATACCGACTGCAAGCAAGTTCGTTTCTTCTTCTAGAAGAGTGTTCAAGGGGCTGAAGGACTATGGAAAGAAACTGGTGGACCTCGAGGCGTTCACGCAGAATCTTGACGAGTGGATTACGGATAAATTATGTAGATGCTCAAGCGATGCGGAGGACTTATTTATGATCGATGAATTGCGCAAGCTCGACATGGCATTAGAGGGGGTTCTATTCCAGCAACTCCTCCGTATGCCTTGCTACTCGCCCTGTGTCAACGACGATCTGAGAGAAGACGAGTACCTTGCAGTTGAAGACCTTCTGCACGCCGTTGCCAATGGCTTGTGGCGCACATTTTGGCACAAAAGGGGACCGTTGCCCTTCTTTTTATCTTGTCCGCGCTATCCTGGCTCCAGGTTCTACACTGTAGAGAAGGCGATATCAAAAGGAAGGCTTCAAGAGCTCTGTGGTTTCGCTTTGATGTCAAGACTTGGAAGCGATCCACAAGTCCGTTGGGATCAGGTGATGGAGTTTGTTCTATTCAAACAAGATATATTGTCAGGAAATGAGTTGAAATTGTCCAGCCGCGTGGTTTGTGAAGCCCTTTTTTATGGTTTTCATATACTTGTTTCTAGGTATTTGAGCAAGACTAGTACTATGGACAGTAACTCTGTCTTCCTCTTGGTTCTAGATTCTAGATATGGGGGAGTCGTGAGATTTGGAGGTGATTTAAGGAAACTCGAATTAAACTCGACTAACCCTTATCAGTCTGTGGCTGAATGGATAAAAAATTATGCCGAAATCAGAGTTTCTCCAGTGGATTTGATATGGAACAAACTAGGAAATCCCAACTGGGGGGACTTGGGAACTTTGCAATTACTTTTGGCAACCATGTACTCTATTGCCCAATGGAATGGACCGCCACGGAAGTCTATAGCCTCGCTAGCCTCGGACCACAGCCTCCGACTTCAGAAGCGTTGGATGGAGTGTCGCCTTGTCGAGAACGAGAATGCACTGGTTCCCTCACAACTCTACCAACAAAGAGAAATTGTTGAAGTTGATCGAGGTGACTCTTCAGTTCTCGGTAAGAAAGGATCTCGCCTGAAGCTTAAGCAGGGAGACATATTACTACTTGATGATCAACAACTCGGGCAGAAAACTTTCCAAATAAGAGAGTCTGTGATTGGAGGAAACTACTTTCTCTACAGTGCCGTTTCTCTTGATTATCCTACCAAGTTGTTGGCTTTATATGTTGGTGCCCATCCATCTAGACTAGAACCATCTTGGGAGGATATGAGTCTTTGGTATCAAGTGCAGAGACAAACAAAAGTATTAAACATCTTGAAGCAGCTGCAGCAGGGGAGTTCAAACAAATATTTGCCGGAGATAGTTGCATCTGGCCGAGTTTTGCACTCGGGTCCCTGTAACAAGCAGACCCCAGGTGGGCGTTGTGATCATCCATGGTGCGGGACACCAATACTCGTGACATCTCCGGTGGGCGTGCCGCTCTCATCTATAGTAGCAAGGGATGGCTGTTTCTCCCCCGAGGAAGTAGTTCGCTGCTGCCGAGACTGCCTGGCAGCTCTAAGAAGTGCAGCAATGGCAAACGTCCAGCACGGTGACATTTGTCCAGAAAACATAATTCGTGTTGTGGACGTGCCTTGTGCAGCAAGGAACAGTTCCATGTATGTCCCCATATGTTGGGGACGTTCGGTTCTGGAAGACAGGGACAGCCCGGCAATAAATTTGCAGTTCTCTTCATCTCATGCACTTCAGCACGGGAAGCTTTGTCCGTCATCCGATGCGGAGAGCCTCGTTTACCTCATTCTCTTCGTGTGCGGGGGAAGCATGGAGCAGCAAGATTCTATGGAGTCAGCTTTGCAATGGAGGGAGAGAATATGGGCAAAGCGTTTGGTACAGAAGAAGCTGGGAGAGGTTTCAGCTATACTAAAGGCATTTGCTGATTATGTGGACAGTCTTTGTGGAACACCATACACTGTGGACCATGACATATGGTTGAAGAGATTGAGTAGGGCAGTGGATGATTCTTCAGCAGAAGCAGAAGTAGAAGCAGATAATAGGGGCAAGAAAATGATTGAACAAGTAGCCATTACATTAGCATTGGAGGACGTTGCTGAATCCTCTGGAACTATATATATATATATATATATATACATTTTGGGTGTGTGGGATTCAGCTGTGGCTACTTCTTCATCAACTATTTGATTGTTATTTCTTCTTCTTCTGGTTTTATTTTCAGCAATGTCATTCTGTATCTTTTGTCACCAGCCCGGCATTCATTCCAGAAAGCCACATTTGAGCCATACAAAATTATAGAAATGTAATCTTTGCTATATTTATTCATGAAAGTTGAAACTTGTCTGATCTCGTTGGAGGTTGGGACAAACATTGGACCAACTTAAAAATGTGCAAAAGGATTAGCAGTACATACTCCAATTATCAATACGTATCATTGATGATGCATAACCATTTATGTGGCACCAGAATATACCTTTTCACATGGCAGGAAGTAAAATCACAGATCACCACCTACTTTTGATATAATCATTCACCAACACCAATAATGATATATAAGACCCCTTTTTCTTTTTTTTCCTTGTAAACTTTCATGTACTTTACCACCTGTACAGGTTATAAATTTATAGTCATTCTTAAGTGAAATTCATCATTCGCAAGTTGATCTTTGTTTAACTGCTGAATCTATGAGCTTTAAAAAAAATTCTACTGAAACTATGAAAAGACTGTCAATTTTGATGTGAAAGAAAAAGAAAAAAAAAAAAAAAAGAATTCTTAGAAATACTATAAAGCTTGTTTTTCATTCTCCTCTTTGTAAGTGAAATATTTTGTATTAAGTTGGCGTGCACAGCACTAATTCTTATTTTATTTATTTATCTGATTTTGACTTATTTATTCATGCTTGATTTTGAATTTTCTTTAGCTGAGGGAGTGTTACTAATTAAATCACATTGCTTGTGACATTATTTTTAGGAAAACATTATAATAGTCTGTTTCATAATAACTTTCTATGATATAGGGCTTGCGGACTTCTGTCAAAAGTAAAAATACAAAATTGATAGAACAGTAGTGAATCTGTTTCACTTTCACGCCTAATTGTAAAATTCTCATATATTATTGTTTTTATCCACCAACAAATAGAAAGAAAATATATTATATTATAACAGGTGAAATAGTCAAAGCGAACTTCTTTCCCAGTACACTTCGTCTCCGTTTTGCGTGCAGAGTAAGAATTCGTACTATATTCGAATCATAATTTTTAATTTATTATAATATTTTAACTCTCTCTGTCCTTATACACACATGACACATATATATTGTGTATTGTATAAGAACAAGGACGTTAAAAGGGGAATTTGCTGTGTGCGATGGCGGAAGTCGGAGAAAGCTCGGGCGCAAAATCCCCTCAAGAAATCTGGGCAAAGCTCGGTATCTCTCTCTCTCTCTCTCTCACACTCTCTTTCTTATTCGCTTTCTCTCTTTAGTGTTAGTATTAATATTGCCAGTATGAGAACAACCCACAAAACTCAAATGCAATTACCAAACACAAATGGAAAAAAAAAATGACTACTTCTTTTTCCCCTTTTAACGGACTGCACAATGTTGTTGAAAGATTGCATCTTTTTTTTCTCATTTTGGGAACCAAGCAAGGGAATGTGGGTAATCTTGTTCATCACAACAAATTGCCCACTTGCCTGCCACAAATATCTTTGATTCAAAAGACTCGATTTTTCATTTTTATTTCTGTTCCCGCTTACTTAAACGTGTTCAGGTTCTACATATAATCTATAAATTGCATTTTTTGCATACACTTTGGTTCCTCAATGGGTCTGGCAGAAGAAAAAGTGCTTTTTTTTTTTTAATTTTTATTTTTAGCCTAAGATTGTTGTTGTTGTTCCCTAGAAACATGATCAAAATGATACCTTGTATCCTCTTCCATTGGAAACTCCAAACATTCACCTTTAAGGCCTTGTTTGGTAGGAGGGAAAATTAGAATGAGCTATAGGGGTGGGAGTGTAAGTAGATGAATTTTAAAACTTATGAAAATGTTTGGTAGGAGGGATTAGATGAAGGATCTAAAATATCCTTCTAAAGTTTGAAAGATTGGAAGACGGAATCCATCGCCAACCCAATTAGAGAAAAGCTTTCCCTTGCCTCTCCATATTTTATCACCTAACTTATTCCGTCTTACCAAACACAACCTCATAATATTCCTTTCTCTACTAGTGCATAGTTTGCTTCTCGCTAGAATTGAGAGATGTGCACTATGGAGGCTTTATGTAATGATGTGAAACATGTTAAAAACAGACAAAAACAAAAGAATTATTTTTTTTTACAATTCTGAGACTTGTTCTTTGTCTAGCAGTTTCAATCGCATAAATATAGTTTTCTCTAGCTCTTTTTTCCCGTGTTGCAGTTCCATCTGACTCAAGACATTCAGATGTTGAGATCAAGTCCGACGAGATTGTCATATGCTCGGTGATCAGGCTGTCGTCTTTTGACGAGCATGCATGGTGCACAATCAAAAGAAATTCGGATTTGTGTTCTGCTACTTTGCAAAATAAGAGGTTCGCTACTTCTTCAGTAAACCAACTTTCTTTGTTGGTTTTCAATTTTTATGTTTCAATTTGAAATAATGAGCTTTTGTTTGATAGTAACAATAAGCATTTGGAGGATTTTGTAATAGGATAAAAGAAACACCCAACTGGTGATTTGCAGTCTTGGACCATAGATTGCCAATTTCCTATCAAGAAATAAATAAATAAACAAACTTAACGACACTTGACAAACGATCGGACGGTCCAGAACAGTCCACCACTACTAAAGAATAATCCTAAGCTTTTACGTTTTTCTTTAATATTTTTTTATTTTAACTTTTTGTGGCGGGTTATATTGTTGTTTGCATTTGTATAGTTCAACTGCAATCCTTGCTGATGAGGCTGTTATTCACAATGGGGACACTATCGATATTAGGTGCGGAAGTGAAATTATACCTGGTCCTGATAGAGAAGGTGAACACTTATTTACATTGGCATATAACAATACAACCATGATAATGTAGTTTATGTAAAATGTACTCTGTTGAAACTCTTGGAATTAAGATTGTGGGTAACCAAATGCGTATGTGGCCGTGTGTTTCTTTAGAATCTAAGTTTCTTTTGCTGATAAGAAATTAGAATCTAAGTTTCATACTTTAGAAAATGATTAAACTGCCTAACATGTATAGGCTAATAGCGTTAGAACTTGTTTAGGATTTTATTTCAAATTACATCAAATGTTGGAGCTGAATCCTTCTCGCAAATGTTTTGATTTTTCTCTTGATCACTCTAGGGTATTTGAGATACAGATTCAAAGTAATGCCCAGACCTGAAACCAGTCAGAAGCAATTAAAGGTGAATTCCTAGATTGCACTGATTTTAAAACTACTATAATAGTGTCTATATATATATATATAAGTATTATACACTATACTATATCCTTGTGAATGTGATTTAGATCTGTCGTTGTTTGATTTATTCAGATATGCATAGATGTTGATCATGCAAAATGCAGCATTTGCTTAAGTGTATGGCATGACGTTGTCACTGTTGCTCCTTGCTTTCATAACTTCTGGTCTGCTACTCATTTTTTGTTCAATCACAATGTTTCTATTATATAAAATCTCATAGTTTCTCATTCACGGTATCGTTTATCTACAGCAATGGATGTTTCTCGGAATGGCTAAGGAGATCACAAGAGAAACGTTCAAGTGTTCTTTGTCCTCAATGTAGAGCAGTTGTACAATTTGCTGGAAGAAACCACTTTTTGCATTACATTGGGGAGGTTGGTCTATTCTTGGGCACCTTATACCTGTCATCTTGATCTATAAGCATGCTTTTAACTTCTGTTGTACAGAAGTACTTAAAAGAAAACAACAGGTTCTGTCATTTGTACTTTGTCCTTCTTGTCCACTTCTTCCCACCTTGGCACTCCAATTTATAGTCCTCGACTATGTACTTATAGAAATTAGAAGCGGAGAAAGCCTAGTGAGTCAAGAACTATATGAAATGTGATGACTGAGAACCTTTTCTCAAAATAACACTCTAACCAGGCGTTACACTTGTATCTTTAAGTTTTGTAGTGCGTGGTTTTGACTATTAACAACAGCAACTATATATTCATGAAGTGAAATTTTTTTGGTTACTGATGTGATTATTTATTTATATATTTTTCTTGAAATTGATGTGATTTGGTTTCATTTACTAACTCCACTTTTGAATGTTGTGGAGCAGCCACTAATTGTACTCTGCAATGAGGATTCTTTTGTTATTGAATACTCTTATTTTTTTTTCCCATAAAAAAGAATATTCTTCCTTTTTTTCCTCCTTTAATGTTATTGCTGCTTGTATTGTATAGGATATACTGAAAGCTGACTCTTCTCTAAAACGTTCTGATGAAGAAGTTGCAACTTTAGATTCATGTGCATCAATACAATCAAATCTCGTGAGTAATCTTTCGACTTTTTTGCGAAGCTATGTGGAATCAGAAAATGCGTGTGAACTTTGAAACATAAGCCTGATGGTTGGACCTTTTTCATTTTCCGTCTATTTTGAGTTAGATGCAATGTCTTATGGAATTCAGTTTTATACTTGATGCTGGTATTGATATGGCAATTAGTCATGTCCTCGTTTCATATGAAATTTATTCACTGTCTTTTTCTTTTCCGAACTGATCTGTGTATGGTTTGTTGGATGTTTAATTGATTCATACATGCTTTCTTTGTGTGTAATTTAATCTTTTTCTGAATGTAATAGGTCATTAAGAGTGGAAAAAAGTTGGGCAGGAAAAGGTCTTATTCACCATTGCATGAAGATGATCATAGCGTAGAACTTCCATGCCCTCAATGCGGTAATCATGAATTTGTTACAACCATTGGGTAGAACTCATTCTCAAAAGCTAGCTTATAGGGAGAGGGTGCCCAAGTGGTTATAAACTCACATGTTAAGCCCATACTTAAGCAATGTGGACTCAACCAGGATCCTAACCTACCACCACGCTTTTGACACCGACGTCCACGACGGCCCACTCTGGCCTTTCTAGGTTGCCTCTTCCGCAACGTGGGCCTGAGATGGGACATGCTCTGATACCAATTGTTACAACCATTGGGTAGAACTCATCCTCAAAAGCTAGCTTGTAGGGAGAGGGTGCCCAAGTGGTTATAAATCCGCATACTAAGCCCATATTTTAACAATGTAGGGCATGTTCTTTTGTTCAAAAAACTCAAAAAAAGACAACTCGAGTTCCAACTTTATTCAAGTTCACGTTCTTTTAAGTTTCAACTTTATTCAACTTTATTCAAGTTACAACTTAAACTCAAGTTATAACTCAAATTCAACTCAAAAATTACACTCAAGTTACACTCTAAAAGAACAACCCCGTAGACTCAACCAGGATCCTAACAGAATTCTTAACTTTGGAAATGATTACCTTGGTGAAAAAATCATTACCACATTTTTTACAATTCATAGAACAGAACATTTATTTGCATTATCAATTTTCACCTCACTCCTTACTATACTTTTAGTAGTGTTTCTCCCCCCAATTTCTATCTTCTATGTTGTTAGGAACCCGAAAATCTGAACTTCATTAACAACACTAGAAATGGAAAATTACAAGATAGATGGGCGGTTTCGAGGACCTCCGACCTCTAAAATAGTGCACAGCACTAGACACTCTACAAATCTCATTCCCCTCTCATTAGCCACTAGACTCTTATTTATACTACTAAAACACTACTAAAAAACAACTACTAACTATCAGGTTCCTAACATTACCCCCGCCCCAAAGAATCACCTTGTCCTCAAGGTGAAAACCAAAAAATAAAATTGAAAAATAACATCTAAATGATCAAGAACAAAAGGCTTTGCCAATTCCTTGATTGGAGAGTCTGAATTGTTGTTGTCCCTATAAATCCCATCTTCCAATTAAAGCCAATCAATTACTTTCTTCTCTGTCTTCTTGGTATCTCGGAAAACAACCACAAAGTCTATCAATTCATTTGAAACTCTCTGCACAAGCTCATCAATGGTCACAAAAACTATTGGCAAATCGATCCTCACTAAGAGAGTTTCCTTTTTAGCCAACCAGGACATCAACCTTTCAGCTTCACTCTCACCAATTTCTTCTCACCCAGTTGCAATTGTACCATTCCCAGCCCCAAACATGTTAAAGTTTTGAGGCCCAACTGTCATTGCACTAGAATTAGGCTAACTAATATTGTAATTACGAGGCCCAACCCCAAAATTGACTCTGCCCATACCCAAAACACTAGACCCAGCCCACTTCCAAATAGAATTTCGGGATTCAGCCCCAAAATTGCCGGATTTCGCATCGGAACCCCACGTCCTGGCCTTTATCTTGCCAGAGCTAGCCCTAATGGCGTCAAAATCACAAAACCCAGCCTTAAGAGCGTCGAAATTTATGGACCTAATAAGCTCCAATTCGAATAACACAGAAAGATGGCAAATTGAAGAGGATTTGTATTACCGAACCGAGAATTAACAATGGCGGCAAGAAAAGTAAAGAATGGTATGGGGATTTTCGAGAGATCCCGTGCTCTCCTAACAACTTCTTTAAGAATGACAAACTGTGATTAATTCCTACTAGCCTCCCTTCTATCTTATTTATACTCCTACCTTAATTCTCTATATAGACTCCAGCTAACTAACCACCCGTCCCTTAACTAACTTGCTGGCTTGGCATTCCTCCAGCAACTGCCTTGCTGACTCAGCTTCCTACCTCTGGCGTTCCTGGCGTTCATCCAGCGGCTGTCTTGCTGACTCAGCTTCCTACTCTGCCCCTTCACTTAACCCCCCCTGCGCCTCCTTCGTGCATATATGTGAATCGCACAGGAGGCTTATCATTACCCCCCGCCCCAAAAACGCACCTTGTCCTCAAGGTGAAAATCAGGGAACTGGGCATTCACAACATCATAAGATTCCCATGAAGCCTCATGCTCTGGCAGATTTTTCCAGCGAATCAGCACCTCTAATCCCATTCGTCCACCAAGGAGCCGTTGGCGCACCCCATCAAAGCGGCTGGAGCCACCTGCAACTCCAAATCACCAGTCAACTGAAGAGGTAACTGGGACACTGCCTGGTCCTGGCCTACTGCCCGACGAAGTTGGGAAACATGGAACCCCGGATGGATGGCAGCGTCCACTGGCAACGCAAGGCGATAAGCCACGGAACCAACTCGCCCAACAACCTCATAGGGACCATAAAAACGAGGACTTAACTTCTCATTGCGTCGACGAGCTAGTGAAACTTGACGATACGGCCGCAGCTTAAGGTACACTAAATCTCCCACGGCGAACTGGACATCGCGGCGTCTACTGTCCGCCACAGCTTTCATTTTTTGTTGGGCGCGCAGAAGGTGGAACTTAAGGAGATCCAACATCGCGTCCCGGTCCATCAATTGTCGTTCTACAGACTCCACGGGTGACGCACCCACCCCATAGCGCAACAGTGGAGGGGGAGCTCTCCCATAAACCACTTGAAGAGGGGTCATTCGCGTGGAAGTGTGGAAGGAAGTGTTATACCAATACTCCGTCCACGCCAACCACTTGTGCCATTGCCCCGGCTTGTCGGAAGTGAAACACCGTAAGTACGTCTCCATGCACCTGTTCACTACCTCGGTCTGCCCATCGGATTGTGGGTGATACGCGGTGCTGCGGGAGAGGGTGGTGCCCATTTGCCGGTGAAGCTCTGTCCAAAAATGGCTGAGGAAAATTTGATCCCGGTCGGACACAATTGTGCGAGGCGCGCCATGAAGACGGACCACTTCCTGAATGAATCGTAGAGCCACTTTCTCAGTCGAGAAGGGATGTCTCAAGGCAATAAAATGGGCATATTTACTGAGCCGGTCAACGACGAACAAAATAGTGTCAAACCCTTCCGAACGAGGCAGTCCCTCAATGAAATCCATGGATATATCCTCCCATACCAGAGCCGGCACCGGCAATGGCTGTAAGAGCCCACTAGGAGCCAGCGTAGAAGCCTTGCAACGTTGACACACCTCGCACGCTGCCACATAGGAGACCACATCCTTCTTCATGCCTACCCAATACCAATTGGCGGCTATCCGGCGATAAGTTTTCAGTTCCCCGGAGTGCCCTCCTATTACACCGCCGTGATAAGAACGCAAGAGCTGTTGTACCACCGGGGCATTCGAAGCTACCACCATTCGGCCCCGAAAGAACAAACGCCCCTGCCGGATAGTGTATAGCCTCTGAGCTAATCACAGAAGTAGCCGCCAACACACTTAAAGAAGGGTCGGCCTGACATCGAGATAGAGCATCTGCAGCCCGGCTTTCTACCCCCGGTCGGTATTGGATCTCGAAGTTATATCCCAGCAGTTTAAGCAACCATTTCTGGTGCTCCACGCTCACCATCCGTTGCTCCAGCAAATATTTAAGGCTGCGCTGGTCGGTCCGGATAACAAAATGGCGCCCCAGTAGGTAAGGCCGCCATTTCTGGATGGCCAATATGATGGCCATTAGCTCTCGCTCGTATACCGATTTACTACGAGCTTGAGCGGACAAAACCTGGCTGAAAAACGCTATTGGCCTTTGTTCTTGCATCAATACAGCCCGTACTCCAAACCCTGAAGCATCCGACTCGAGCACAAACGGTTTGGTAAAATCCGGCAAAGCTAACACTGGCACCTGTGTCATGGCCATCTTGAGTCGTCAAAGGCCTGCGCTGCCTCGGCATCCCATCGGAATCCATCCTTCCGAAGCAAAGTAGTTAGAGGCCCCGCAATCTGGCTATACCCCGCCACAAATTTTCAGTAGTAACCGATCAGTCCTAAGAAGCCCCGTAAATCTCGCAAATTGGCAGGTGGTGGCCATTGCAGCATAGCTGAAATTTTAGTCTGATTCGCTGAAACCCTTTGGTCGAACACAACGTGTCCCAAATATTCTATGGAGCGTTGACCAAAGCTGCATTTCTTCACATTGGCATATAATTGGTGCCGCCGTAACTCCTCCATCACTTGTGCGAGATGACACTCATGTTCCTTCTCCGTTCGGCTGTAAATGAGTATATCATCGAAGAATACCAACACAAACTTGCGAGGGAAAGCCCGTAAGACCTCATTCATGAGTGATTGAAAGGTCGCCGGAGCATTTGTCAAGCCGAAAGGCATTACGAGAAACTCGTAATGGCCTTCATGAGTGCGGAATGCTGTCTTCGGAACATCTTCCGGACGCACTCGTATCTGGTGGTACCCCGACTTGAGGTCTATTTTGGAAAAAATTATCGCCCCATGGAGCTCGTCAAGAAGTTCCTCTATTATGGGAATCAGAAAACGGTCGGGTACCATTTTCCTATTCAAGGCGTAGTAGTCCACACAAAACCGCCAATTACCGTCCTTCTTGACTAATAGCACAGGGCTGGAATAAGGACTCACACTAGTCTGTATAATGCCAGCCGCCATCATTTCCCCCACCAGCCGCTCAATCTCGGTTTTCTGGATGTGCGGATAGCGGTACGGCCGTACATTGATCGGTGAAGTTCCTTCCTTGAGGATAATGGCGTGATCCTTTGCCTTTGCCGGAGGCAACCCTGCAGGAAACTCAAACACCGAAGCATACTTATCCAGTACCGACTTCACCCCAGACTGTATTTCCTCTTCCCTATAACTCGAGTCTACCATTAAGTTTCCCAGCTCCACCCAAATTCCTTGACCCTCATGCCTAAGAGCTCGCATCAAGGCTTTAAGGGTGACCGGTGATTTGTTTAAACCAGGATCTCCGCGTAACGTTACATGTCTATCTCCCACATTGAACTTCATGAGTAACGTTTTCCAATTAACTGAAACTACCCCAAGAGTTTCCAACCACTGGATTCCCAATATCAAATCCGAACTAGCCAATTCTAAAGGTAGGAAATCTTCCACCACCTCCACATCTTGCAAGGTCACCATCACCCCTTTACAAATTCCCTCCCCTTTCACCGAAACCCCAGTACCCATCACTACCCCATACCCACTAGTTTTATCCACGGTTAACCCCAATTTCTTAACTAGTTCATAAGAAATAAAGTTGTGGGTAGTCCCAGTATCAATTAGGACAATTACCTCACACCCTCGGACGTGTCCTCTGAGCTTCATAGTTCTCGGAGCAGTGAGTCCCACCACCGAATTGAGTGACAATTCCACCATTTCTTCTTCCCCAAGCTACTCATTTTTCTCCTCGTCTCTCTCCTCAGTTCCATTCTCCTGTTCTTCTTCCCTAACGATCAGGACCTGCAATTCCCAGTTAGGGCAACGGTGCCCATAGGTATACTTCCCGTCACACCGGTAGCATAGGCCCTTTTCTCTCTTCGCCTGCAGCTCCGCATCCGTCAACCGCTGAAAAGTCGCCGCGCCTCCACTAGTTCTGGTCTTCTTCTCCGTCGTGGCGAAGTTCCTCCCTACTGAATCGCCCGTGTTCCCTGCTCCCGTTCCAGAATGGCTTAGGCCACCCCTCTGCCCAGTAAAAGCCGTATAAACATTTCCCCCCTTGCTCCAAGTCATATTTTGTGGGCCTTGTGGGCCTGAGGTTCTTGCCCCGCGTACCATCAGATTTCGATCCTCCACCCGCTGGGCTACCTCCATGATTCGGCCCAATCCTTCAGGCCTCATCAATCTGATTTTCGCCCTGATCTCAGGCTTCAATCCCTTAACGAAGGTGCTCTCCAGGACCTGCTCCGAGAGCTCTGTCAATTGCGCTGCCAGTACCTCGAACTGTCGTCGGTACTCCTTCATAGTCGTTTCCTGGCGGAGCGACAAGAATTTCTCGCACAGACTCCCCTCCTGCATAGGGCGGAATCACTCCAAAATCATCAGCTTCAACACCGTCCAATTCCGAATCGGCCTGCGACCGTCCTCCCATTGAAACCACGCCAAGGCTTCTCCTTCGAGACTTACCACCGCCGCGTCCAATTTCTCCCCTTCCGTCATTCGATTCATGGAGAAAAACCTCTCAGCGCGGAAGATCCAACCATCGGGGTTGTCTCCATCAAAAACTGGCATTTCCACCCGTTGCGTTCGAAATTCTGCACGGCCTCCTCCTTCCCGTTGCCGATCTTCTCTTGGCGCCGGTGGTTCCACCGCTGTGCCTTCCGCGGCCCACGGCGGCTCCTGATAGGCCGATTCCCTCAGTTTCACCAGATCATCCAACCTTTCAAACAACATCTCCATTCCCTGCTCAAGTCTAGGTATTTTCTTCAAATCCTCACGAATTCCTTCCATTTCTTTCTGGAATTCTTCGTGAGGAACCTCCGTCTTCTCCTTCTCCCGTTCGTCGGCGCATCTCGTCATTCCCAGACGTCACTACTCTGATACCAAATGATAAGCTCCAATTCGAATAACACAGAAAGATGGCAAATTGAGGAGGATTTGTATTACCGAACTGAGAATTAACAATGGCGGCAAGAAAAGTAAAGAATGGTATGGGGATTTTCGAGAGATCCCGTGCTCTCCTAACAACTTCTTTAAGAATGACAAACTGGAATTAATTCCTACTAGCCTCCCTTCTATCTTATTTATACTCCTACCTTAATTCTCTATACAGACTCCAGCTAACTAACCTCCCGTCCCGTAACTAACTTGCTGGCCTGGCATTCCTCCAGCAATTGCCTTGCTGACTCAGCTTCCTGCCTCTGGCGTTCCTGGCGTTCATCCAGTAGCTGCCTTGCTGACTCAGCTTCCTACTCTGCCCTTTCACTGAAACCCCCCCTGCACCTCCTTCGTGCATATGTGAACCGCACAGGATGCTTTTCAGGACCCCACTCCAATTCCACCGGAATCTTCCTCTGTAGCACCGGAATCAGCCCCTTTCACGCCGGAATCGCGAGGCCCAGTCGAAACCGGGCCGGAATCAGCCCCAACTGCGACCGAATCAGGGCTGGGTTCCCTGTTCCGAGGGTACCCATGCCGTTCCAGCCTTGGAGCAAGCCTCTCCTCCTCTAACTTCGGCTCCCACTCCACTTCCCGTCACCGACCAAGCTCCGCCGCCCTCTCCCGACGGTCGCGACCTCCTTCTGCCCTCCTCCCGTCGTCGGACAAACCCTCGCGCTGCAGATCCGGACCACCCAGCCCCAGATCGCAACGGATCTCGCGCTCCTCCATGAGACCCACGTCTCTCCGGCGTGGGAACTCCCTCTCGCGGCCTCGATCTTCTCGAATCAGTGCTTCTCGGCGAAGATCCGCCCGATTTGGCACCTCCACTCCGCCTGGGTCGACGCGATCTGAGCTCTCCTCGCCTCGAGGCGCGCGATCTCGCCTCTCCCCGTCCCGTTGCGACCCAACTCGGCCTCCCCGGCCATCGGTCGCGCCGCCAGCAGTGCCTCCAACCTCCGCAGCGCCGCCTGCAAGTCACCCATCTGGGTCGGAATCTTCCCCACATGGTCCCGGAGTTCCCCCATACTCCCTCAAGAAACTTTGTGATTAGCTCTTAGAGCAGCCCTAAGTTTCTCTCTCAACTCAAAGAGCTCCGTGGATCGTAGATGCTCTGATACCATTGTTAGGAACCTGAAAATCTGAGCTTCATTAACAACACTAGAAATGGAAAATTACAAGATAGATGGGCGGTTTTGAGGACCCCGACCTCCAAAATAGTGCACAGTACTAGACACTCTCTACAGATCTCATTCCCCTCTCATTAGCCACTAGACACTTATTTATACTACTAAAACACTATTAAAATACAACTACTAACTATCAGGTTTCTAACATATGTTGTCTAGCTTCCTTGATCTTTTTTTTTTTTTTTTTTTTTTTTTTTTTTTAAAGGGGTTTTTCACATCTTTTCAGGTACTGAATCTGGCGGATTTCGCTGCGACCATAACACTATACATTTACAATGTCATGCATGTGGAGGAATGATGCCTTCCCGACCACCCGCAACTACTGTACCACAGCACTGTAAGATATTGTTTATTTGTAATGAATCGTGATACTAATTATCATAAGTTCCATCTGAACAGCAGGCTTAATGCCTTTGTCTAGAGACTTTTCTGTAAGGTTGTTTGAATGAATGTAAATGTTCTTCGACTGCTCCGTACCATGGTCTACACAGCAAGCATAATGAACTAATTAAACACTACCTTCGGACCAAATTTTGCATTGGTGTTGACTTGGATATGACTTTCTTGTCTTTAGTTTTTTTTTTTTTTTTTTTTTTTTTTTTTTTTTATATAATAACTAGTTTCTATATTTTTTTTGCGCTTGCAGGTTTGGGGTGTGATCGGGCATTTTGTGGTGCTTATTGGCATGCTCATAGAGTGACAGGAACGGGTTCGCATGCTATGTGCAGGGTCGAGACTTTTCAACCAGTATGCGGCACTTTCTGCTCATCTCTTATTTTTGTTACTTGAAACAAATTAGTGAATTACTTCTACACTTATAATTTCAAATCTATATTTGTGTGGCATGTGCCTGTGGAATGTTCTAGAAAGAGTAATTGTACAGTTGTAAGTTTCAGTTTTTGTTTTTTCCTAATTATAATTAATTTGCTAAAGATGTGTAGTTGTAAGTTAATTGAATGAATGATATACCTGTTGTTAATGCTTTGCAGATCTCAGAACGTACTATCTCTAGAATTCCATTTTGGGCACATGAAAAGAATCGGCATGAGCAAGATGTATGAAATGTAAAAATGGTTTAATGGCAACAACTGTTATCGTCATTAATTTTTTTTAAAAGGAGCATTGATTTAACCAATTATTTCTTTGGTGCATAGATCACAGAGAAGTGTATAAGACAGATGGGCAGAACATTGCAGGATGTTATTACAGAATGGATTACAAAGTTTAACAACCGAGAGATTGGTATATGAATATATTCTTCGTGATCGGTTTCTTATTGAAAAGGAGTTTTTGTATTCCAAAGTTGCCAATTTGATTACTGTATGATTTTTCTTTTATTTATCAAGTAGCTGGTAGCATTTCTCCTGCAATATGTTTTGGCTGATAATTCTGTTAAATGACAATCTCCCCAATTCGAATACTTTTGAAGTTTTAGTCGATAGCAACTGGTAAATAACCAATGGCCTGTCTGAACCATATCAGCCCGTCTGAGCCCTTCTCCACATTAGTTTCTTGGCTATCCTATGATTGATTCTTTTTCTTGTTTAGAAAAGTACTCCATTTCTCTGCAGATCGGACGAGGATGCCACTTAATCATGCTGAGAGGATTACATCTGGGACCCATCTATGCAAGTATGTTTTATACCAGGAAAATTCTTGCTAAAAATGAGCTTATTTTATTTTAAAGTTTGTATTCGATGTTGGGATAGGCCAGAGTTAGTCACGACACGACACAACACGACACTTCCATATAACCGATTTTTTATTTTTGTTTTTATTTTTATTTTTATTTTTAACCCATGGAATGAGGTGGGTCATATACAGGAAATTTGAATCCTTTATTTTTACTAATATTTTTTTCTTAAATGTAGTGATTGTTACGAGAAATTGGTCTCATTTCTGTTGTATTGGTACCGGATATCAATGCCTAAAAATGTAAGACCTTCTTCCACTTCAACTTCAACTTCAAATGTCATGGAAGCTAATGATCTTACTTGTATTTATAGTTATATGAGAACGTAGATGCATGCAGGACTGATATAATAGACAAAATAATGTTGATATAGTATATTCTAGCTACTTTGAAACCACATAATAATAATACTAGTTTGATTTAAGTTTCTGACATTTGACATGGTTGGTGGTTCTTTGTTGTAGCTTCTCCCGCCGGATGCATTGGCAAGGGAAGATTGCTGGTATGGATACGCATGCCGGACGCAGCACCACAACGAAGAACACGCCCGCAAAAGAAATCACGTCTGCCGTCCAACTAGGGGTTCTAACTTCTAACACCTAATAATATGATATACATTACATACTTTTTATTGTTAGGTCTGTTTCTTGTTTCTTTTTTAAGATTTAATTTTTTTTTTTATAAAATTAGAGTTTAATGGTTTTAATTAATTGGCCCATCTTACACGTTTTTACTTTAATACCCTTCATTAATTGATATTTTTAACCACGTATGCAATTTCCATCTGTTAATACACAGAAATAGATGAAGGGAGCATCTTATGTTGCTTTTTATATATTATGGGATGTTTTGAAAAATTAAGTACACTTTAAAATAAAGTATATAATTTAGAAGGTAATTATGAAAATAATCTTTTTTAATAGAGAAATTTGTAAAATTTATTTTTAAGAGTGTATGTGTTTGAATTTTAATCTCTCATTATTGATTAATACTTTTTTATTAGTATAGTTATTTAATTAAAAAGATTATTAATAAAAAATAAATTGTAAAAATTTTAACCCATAAATTTTAAAAGAATATATATCTCATTTTTCTTTGTCCTTAATCATGGCAGTGGCACATGTACTTTTTACATATTCTTCTCCAAATATTATAGTAACATGGTGCTCGGGTAGATTAACAACATTAGTGGACATTAATTCTTTAGTATCTGATTCCTTTGTTATCTCATCCACATCTTGTATTACTCCTTTGAAAACGCAACATATTTAATTATCAAATGGAAGTCCATACTTCAAAGTTCAAACGTAGGATCCACATCACATGCTATATCGTGACTTATTTAGTTTTCTTTTTCGTTTTTTCCCCCCTTTTTTAACTAATAATTAAATGGTGCGAGTACTATTGCTCCTCCATCAAATTTTTTGAAAATGTAATATCAACACAGAATTTTCAATTATATCCAAGTCTTGACTCTTAAGTATGCTCATATTTCAAACTTAAAATATCGAGAAACAAAATATCAACGACACCTTTATGTAAACTTATATTTAAAAAAGATATAATAGATAAAATGATGATACAAAAAAGGAGGACGAAGTTTAAGAAAATATAGTTTCTTGGTAATTTTGTTTAACATCTTGGTTTCACTTCCGCTCTCCTAAAAATAAATAAATAAATAAATAAATAAATAAAATCCTAACTCCATTGTTGTTGGGTAAGGGTTCTCTTTTGTTTTTTATTTTTTGGTTCGTTTTTAGCCCTTCCGAATATTACGTTTGGTTTATTAGGTTTATTTATTATGGAAAGTTTGGTACGTGATTCGTGGGTTAGGTATGCGGGAAGTTTTGATTCCTTTGACCGTATAATCTGACATTTATTAAGCCTTGGAATCATGCATAACCTTTTTATTAGCATTTGCTGCAACACTTTAGATTCAGGAATGCAAGAGGTTCTGTTATTCTTCTGCTTTTTATTATTATTATTATTATTATTATTATTCCAATTTTGAAAAGTAAAACGACCAACCCTTGTTATAAATTATAAATTATATCCGTGGATTCAGGGGAGTCATTGTTCATAAGAAATGTTCTTCTTTACTAACTTTGACAAAATTTTAAAACTAACTGGCATCATGTAACTAAAATGATATATAAATATATATATCCGTGGATTCAGGGGAATAATTTTATTCCGTATTAAATAGCTTTCTTGATTTACAAATTTACAAACTGCAATCCAACACCCATAAAATATAAAATATTAATAATCCTACCTTACCTACTCTCTTTGTCTATCCTGATCATGACTGACTATATATGTAGGTTGCGTGTGATTGACATTTTGCATAATATATATATGTGTATGCTTTTTACGTATAATATTATTAATTTGAAGCTAAAAACGAAATGTGTAAACAAATATAAATATATATCGTAATCAAGAATTGAAGTGTGGCGATGATATATATATATAAATATGTATGTAAGTGTATGGAAAAAGTAAACAAGAAATCAAAAGAGGTAGGTGCAATGTAACATGGGAGAGAGAGGGCAGCCAAAACAACCAAACAATAAAAATAATGGAAATGGATATGAAGAGAGAGAGAGAGAGAGAGAGAGAGAAGAGCAGATAAGTTGCTGTGAGAAGAGACAAAGGGAGTGGTTGACTGGTTGTCTGTGACATCGTCCTCCATCTCCTATATGCCTATATATCTCTCGTCTATATCATATATATCCACCAACCCCAAAATATATATTTAAAAATCCTAATTTATTCATCTCCCCTCTTCTTCGGCTTCATTTGAATTCTCCAACAATACCCACGTCTTCTCTCTATTTCTTATAATTCTTACATCTCTCTCTTTCAATTTTCATTTAAATAATTTTTACGTACAATCTCAGTAATAATATTATTGCCTTCCAAATATCTCTTTTACACATGCATGTCAATTACAGCCACATGTGTGATGCGTCTTCGTTCATTCATCGGCATCATCTGTTCAAATTTTTCATTACATTTTATTTTTCTCTAATCTCCTAGTTCTATTTATATGTATATGTACGTATTTATTATTATTATTTTTGCATTCATGTACGTGTTAGCTTTTTGGCCGTTTGAGATATAAATTAAGGTTTTATTTTCAAAACTGATGGACGGTCCTCTACTTGTCATTCCTAATACCGTGGCATGCAGCAACAGGAAAAAGACAATTTTTGTTGTTTGTTTACGCGATTTTAGTTAAGAGTTTTCGTGTTTTTTTTATTTTTTATTTTTTATTTTTTACTTTTAACGACAGTAGACGATCAATGTCATCGCTAAAGAGTATTTTTCTTATAGTAACAGCTGTTATAGGGCTGTTTAGGAGGAGCCCCCCAACCGCCTAAACCAATTGCCAAACTACGCCCGATAATTAAAATTGAATTTGTTTAGCATCATAACTTAATCGACTAAGTTTTGTTTTAATCAGTTTTGGCTCTATATTTTTAGGGGTGATCAATTGATACCAACCGAACCTAAAATTTAAACACTTTTTGAAAAAGAAAAAGAATAAAATTTCTAGTTAATTTAGAAATTCCTACCCTCTAAATGATGTCATTTTAGAGCCACAAATTACTAATTTCAACAGGTGTGCAGCTTGTTTAAGATTGTTGATGACTTGATTTGAGTATATGAGATTATCGATTCTCATATTTCTTTCTTTTTTCTTCTTTCAGAATATTCTTGTTCTTAGGTTGCAATGCATGCTTATAACGTTTCCAAACCGAACTGACCGTAGCATATTCAGAAATCTATACGTACAAGAAGTAAATGTGATATACTTGTAAATTATATTTAGAAAACACAAAAATTTCTGGGAAGCATAATTATTTATTAGGAACTAGAGGCGCTGCAGAAAAGTAGAATAATATAAATATATAATTATATATGTATGTAGGTTGAAGAAAGGAATTAGGTAGCTAGGTAAGCAGCTAGCTAGGTTCTGAAATATCTAAAGAAATTAATTTCAGGTGTTGTGGTGAGAGTAGTGGTGGCAGCAGCAGTGCAGGTACATGGCTGTTTCTGGAACCCTAAATGGCAACACAAACAAACATTATTATCACGATGATGATAATGATGATGATAATGAGAATTAGCTGAAGCAGTACCAGTACCACCACTACTGCAACTACTAGAAATTGGGGCTGGAGTCACATAATTCGCAATAACATTATAATCGCCATCAATATTATGCTGTAGGTTGAACTGATGATGATAATTATATGCAGTAGTAGTAGTAAAGTCGTGTCGTTTTTGCGGCTTCTGTTGTGGCTTTGAGTACTTGGTAACGTTATTATTGTTATCAGCCAAAGAAATCTCATCAGCAGCTGCAGAGTGGCGATCATGAGTAGTAGTAGTGGTAGTGATGAGGCCAATGGAGAGATCGAGGTTAAGTTGTGAGAACATGACTTGGTCGGTGGTGAGGCCTACTACAGTAGCAGCGCTGCTATTTGAATCTTCACTTGACGTCTGACGATGATCATGAGTAGATGTTCCTGCAGGAGTAGTGCTAATATTTACCTGATCGTGATCATGAATCTTCAGCTGCTTGAGTTGTTGATCACTAGAACTACTAATTGTAGTAAGCACTTCAAATTGGGAGCCACGCATCATGATTATGTTACTGGCACTACAGCATGGTGTCTTTTTATTTTCAGTATGATGATCAATATTACTATTTGTACTACTACTACTACTACTAGTACTGTTGTTAGTGGCGATAGTAGTTTTATTAGAACAGCTAGGAGCTGTGGTAGGCGACGTAGTATTATTGACGACGAGAGGGCGATGAGTTTGAGGATCAATTCCACGGTTGTAGAGCTTTCTTTTGATGTGTGTATTCCAGTAATTCTTTATCTCGTTGTCTGTTCTTCTCGGTAACCGCGATGCTATTAGTGACCATCTGATATCAATAATAATATTCATCATCATCATTTTATACATCGATCGATATATATCAAGGAGCTTAAAGGGAAATTAAGTACCCCCAATATTTGGGAATTAGATGTATAATTTTACTTGTACGCAGTTCAATAATTAGATAGAGATCAATTCATTACCTATATATGTATATAATTACTACTAGCAAATTCAATAATACATATATGTGTGTGTGTATATATATATATATATACATTTATACAAATGTTTATGGAAGTAGGAGAAGGACATACACAAATATATATATATATATATATATGAGGTAGTTGGTCAGTAGTATAATAAAATTATTAAATGGTAATTAAGTAATTACTTGTTTCCAAGTAAGGAGTGAAGGTTGATAATGAGGTCGTCTTCTTCTTGAGTGAAGTTTCCTCTCTTGAGGTCTGGCCTCAAATAGTTTATCCACCGAAGTCTGCAACTTTTCCCGCAACGAAGAAGACCTGCGCGCGCCAACTAATCATGAATCCCAAAGCTCACAAGCATATATAATTACTCGTGAATATATATACATATATATATATATATACACACACATAGAGTAGAACGTACGTACCAGCTGCTTTGGGAAGAGATCTCCAGCAGCCTTCGCCGTGGAGTTTGATGTAGTTGATGAGACGCTCATCTTCTTCTTTGGTCCATGCACCTTTGTTTGTGTGCTCTTTCTCACAACACGGTGATCTCCCCATATCATATATATATATATATATATATATATATATGTATGTCAGTATGTATATATATTTCAATTAGCTACCTAGATTGCGTGTGTCTGCGTTTGTGTTTATATATGTATCGTCTAGAGAGAGAGAGAGAGATTCGTGGCTCGGAGAATGGTAGTAATATTATTTGAAATTGAAGGATTAATTGGCCCTGCAAATATCTAGCTAGCCACATACATGAAAATTAAGAAAGACATAATTTAAATGGAAGCTGATGAAGCTGCTGGTATTTATGAGTTATGACTCGTTAGCTTTCGAGAGAGAGAGAGAGAGAGAAGAGAGAGAATGGAAGCAGGAATTTTGACCGAGTTGGTGAGGAGCAACGGGTGTGGTTGTAAATAACTTCTGGGTTCGAGTCATATAATTAGTACCCCACCCCTCATCACAAAACACTAAATAGGCATATATAATGATGCTCTCCTTTATTTATAATTATATTCTATATACATATACGTATATGATTATTATATATATAACATTGGTGTTTCAGTACTATTGTCTTTTTCTGTTATATAAATAATATTAACGTTGTTTTCTATGATAAATTGTTACAACACAAATAACGCAATAATATTTCATAAAACGCATCACATTGAAAAAAATGCCTGATTTGGTAGGTAGCTCTACTTTTCATGATGTTCAAGGTTGAAACTATTTGTTGTCTCCATCCTTACATTTGCACTTATATTTGTATCCATATTTCTTGCATGTTAATATTCTTCTCTCCCTCCATTAAGTTAAAATAATTAGGCCAAAAATAAATGAGATCCCTTACATGTTTAGTGTTTATGCGTTCTATATCAATCAAATTAGCCATGTCTAGACAGGATTTTTTTTTTTTTAAATTTTATTAAAATACGCAAATTAAAATCAAGGTATTTGATATATATATATATATGTAAGCATATGCATATGCTTGTCATCATCAATGGGAAAAATTGATAATTTTGACTTTGTGGAACCCCTTGATTCTTGAAGTAATAACCCAAAATTAAGGGCACACATAACTAATTAAGCAAGACAAAAGAAGTAGTTAATGATTATGAGGATATAATTTAAATCAAACACTTTGTTTGGTTTATAGTTTATTATAACACATTAAATGAAGAGAGCTAGGGCACCTTAATTATGGGCGCCAACTTTGGAGTAACAGGGACAGGGTTAGAGGAACGAACGTCAACAAAAATGAAGGCTAGCTAGTTGTTGTCAATTTTCATGCTTATGAATATGAGGGAGAGGACCTAGCTAGCTAGGCTAGTATACTCAACAAACCAAAAACACACTTGTCTTGTACACCATCCATCATAACCATATTAAACATAAGTAGTTTAATAAAAATATTAGTCATTATATTAAACAATTAGCCCTTTGTAGCTGCATTAATGCTTATATAGACTACAACAAAACGGTTTTTAGCGACAAAACGTTTAGTGCTAAGTAATAGTTTAGTTAAAATTTAGCGACAAAACGTTTAGCTACGAGTTTTCATAATGTCCTCGCTAAAAGACACTTTTTTTTTTTTTTTTTTTTTTTTTTTTTTTTTTAAAATTGTCCCCCTAAAAAAAACTTTTTTTTTTTTTTTTTTTTTTTTTTTACTTTTAACGACAATTTTGTTTATAGTTTTAGTAACAATAAGTTTTTAGCGATATTAAAATTTTTAGCGACAATAAATGTCATCGTTAAAAATCATTTTTTTCATAGTAGTAGTACTGATAAATATATGTTTTCTACTTTTTACCAAACCAAAAATTTGTTTTTCTTTTTTTAATTCTAATTCTCTTTATAGTATATAATCCTTTGATATTACATGGTCATCCTCGTTTCCATTGCAAGGCTTTCTTGTTATTGGCTTTTTAAATGAATTAAAGGGGGTGGGGTTTCTATTCTTCTAGAAGGAAATCTCAACTTACTCCACTTACTCTTGTCAATTCAGTCAGGACAATACCACTTATAATTATAAATTATTTTACTAACTCTCCCCTACCACTTCGACGCCTAAATTAAAAAGTAAAAAATAATAATAATAATTTATGTCATTTTCAGGATGCAACCAACCTGTTGATGATCATCCCATCCAGATTTTTAAAAGAGAATTATGTCATATGAGCCGGCATTTGTTAATATTTTAAAGGCATGGTTGGTAAGGCACGTCCTAATGACTCCTATATATTCCTAACTTTCTTTTTCCTTTTTGAGCTTCTAGAAGGCTTTGAAAGTATAAAAAAAAAACAAAAAACAAAATGAGAATTAAGAAATTAAGGCAAGCGAGCAAGGAAAGGAAAAAAGGAAAAAAGGCAAGATGAAGAATCTTTTGAGCTTGGTGACCCACCTCATCACCCAATAGATGGGGGCCAAAGTACGAGTGGGCCTTTGTTTTGTATGCTCGTCTCATTCTCATAGTCCCATACACAAAATAATTATGTTACACCATGGTTGACCATTTGAGCGACCGCTTTTATTATATACGTCGAGAGTTCTGGAAGTCAATACAAATTCCTGACGTCGAGAACTAACAGTTAGAGAGATATCTTTAGGTTAAGGAGCGCTCTTAGAGCTAAGGCGTTGAAATTGAGAAGTGCTGAAGGTCCTCTTGAGGCCTTTGCGTCGTTGAAGTCGAGAAGTTCACAAAAGCTCTTTGAAGCCTCTGCGTCGAGGAGTCAAGGTGTTGAAGTCGAGAAGTGCTAAAGGTCCTCTTGAGGCCTTTGCGTCGTTGAAGTCGAGAAGTCCACAAAAGCCTTTTGAAGCCTCTGCGTCGAGGAGTCAAGTATTAGATAAGACCGGGAGATTAAATTAAGATCACATCTCGTCAACTCAAGGAAAGATATATTGTATCAACTACTACTATTGAAGTCAGGAAATCAGGTAGCTGGTAAGAGTGGTTCGCCTGACTGGAAAGCTGTAATCATGGAAATACAACTGCCAAATCCCAGAATTAAGGGATAGAGGATGATCTCCTCAGAAACTGCAAATGGGGTCTCTCATGTGTACAAGACCTATAAATAGAGTAATGGAAATTCATTAAATTAGGAGGACTGACTACTTTACTGCTCCAAGGAGATTGTAATTCTTGTGTTTTATTAATCATCCAAGATTCTTATAACTTCAATATCTATCAAATAACATTTTTGATATCTTGGGGCGGAAGAGCAGAGATCGTCGGGGAAGAAGGAGCGCCAAGGGATGCCGGAGTTGATGGAGTCGAGGACTCGGTACGTGGCCTCTTGCTTGGCGGAGTAGTCTTGCTGGTGCGAAACGACGACGTTGGAGAGGAGGATGGCGAGGAAGAGAGGATGGAATGGAGCCATTCAGAAGTTTTTTTTTTTTTGTTTTTTTTTTGTTTTTTTTTTTGGGAGATGTTGGGTTTTCTGAGGGAAAATGTGAAGAGAAGTGCTCTTTGATAGAGACTTTTTTCAATCACTAGTAAGGAGAGGCACGTGTGTTTTTAAACGGCATAGAAGCATCTATGTTGCATTGTATGTAATGTTTGATTAATTATATAATTTTTATTATTATTATGCTTTAGTAATTTTTTAGCTAAAAAAATGATAAACTTTTACAAAGTTTAATTTAATATTTTGCCGCTCTTACCGATGGAAGGCTAAAACTCTGTATTAACAATTAAAATATTTCTCAAAAATATAAAAATTTATATAAATCAAAATTTTAAAACACTATCATTTTATATTTTATAAAAATAAATGAAAGACAAGAGATCTAATAGAAATAACAAAAAGAGCTGAAGGAAATATAATTATTATTTATATATTAAATAAAAGAATAAGGATTAGATTAATTAAATGTGTGCCTTTAAAAAAAATCAAACGCAAAGTGACGTTTGGTAAGGGGATTCGTACCCTGATTCGAATCATAATTTATAATTTGTTATAGTGTTTTCTCTTATAAAAAATACACGTAAATTAAAAATAATTCTAATATTATAATTCTAATTCATGAACCAAACGTGTGGTAAGTTTTGTTATTTACATTAAATATAATGAGATTTATAATTTGATTAAAGTAAAACACTTTAAGCGTGGCATTCCAAGTGGTAATTATTGTTCAATTTAATGCAAGTGCCACATGGGAAGATATAGAGTGAGAGAGGGAAAGAAAAGGAAGAAAAAACTAAGCAGGCCGGTCCGCCGGTGAAGCAGGCAGGTCAATACTTTCACACTTTTTATATACTTATTATATAGGATAATATCCACTTTTTATATACTTATATAGGATTATAGGATACAGGAAGTAACGTCCAAATGAAACACGTTCTGAGTAATAGTCCACTTATAAAAATTTATTTCTTTTCCATTTTTCTTTATTTCGTTTCTCATAAAAAAGACCAACCCCAACCGTACAATTTCTTTTAGATTTGAGCATAAATGGCCTTTTTTAAAGAATGTTTTTCATAAATAGTCGATATTTTTTAAAATTATAAAACTAAGGGAGCATTTGATATATAATAATGAATAAAAATTATATTATTGAGAAAGTAACGAAGAATAATATGATTTTTAAGAAATATATATTATCATATTTTGTTACATATAAGAATTTAAGATAAAATTTTTAAGAAATTTAAGGATCTGTTTATTTTATCAATTTAAATTTAAATTTTAAATTTAAATTTAAAATTTAAGTTTTATTACAATAAAAATTTTTAAAAAATAATTAAATTTAATTTTTTTACTACAGTAAAAAATTTTCACATAAAATTATATTTAAATTTAAATTAAAAATTTAAATTAATTAACGAACTAAACAGGTTATAAGATAAAATTTTTAAAAATTTATTTTACTGTGTGTTTGATTAGGTAGAGTAATTTTTCTTATCTTTCTCTTCTCTCTCCACCGCAACTGCTCACCATCAAACCCAGATACACAGAGTCTACAAATAACGTTCATGGCCTTCTCCATCACCATTAAGCATCTCTATGCCTCTCTCCAACAAACTTTCTCTCTCTAACTCCTCTGACTGCCTCCGATCCCCAACCGTAGGCCAGAGGAGTTCCTTTGGTATTCGGTAATAGGCTATTGAATGAGCTCTTTAGCCAAAATGGATATTCTCTTTTGTTCTCCCCTCTCTCGCTCCACCAAAGCGCCGCACTCGGAGCGTTGTCGTTGGAAAGTTCAAAGAGTTGCGAGGTCGGCGAAGAGGCCGAGCCAGCCTAGAACAGTGGCGATTTTTCGCAAAGCCTCGACTTCAACGCCATTGAGCGTACGGCGGAGCAATCACGATTGCGACGGAGATTCGTCCTCTGTCGAAGATGAGATAAACAGATCGACAAAGAGAGAAAGAGTAGAGAGAGATTAACGAAAAAGAGAGTAGAAAGAGAGAGATCGGTGGAGATAGAGAGAGTATAGGGTAGGGAGGTGGTGGCCGGTGGCAAGGTGTTGGTGGTGAGAGTGGGCTGTAATTTTCAAGTATTTTAGTGAGATTCTCATAAATATGAAATTCCTGGGCATTTAAAGATTACCCCAATTTAGGGTAAAATGAATCCTATAGGATTTACTTTTTCAGAAATGTAAAAATTGTAATTCTTATATCAAACGTGAGAAAATTTATTAATTAAAATTAGTTAATTAACTGTAAAGTATAAGTCAATAGTTGATACTAATTAACTGTAAAGTATAAGTCAATAGTTGATTACGCATGTAAATAAAACGACAATTTTTATAAAACGGCCATTTTCATAAAAGAAAAAAATAAAAGAAAAATATTCATAAAAAGATGTGATTAAAAAACGCCGTCCAACACATTTTTTTTTTTTTAGCAGTACGCAGCAGATCTGAAAAAAGAAAAAGTAAATTAATAAAATAAAACAAAAAACAAAAAACGAACAAAATCTTCCTTCTATCTTCCCTTACTTCTTCCTCACAACAAACAAGCCGCCGCCTCCTCTCTCGGAAGAACAACGCCGTCGCCGGACCTCCTGAATCCAGAAACTTCGATTCGACAACGCCGCCCACCAGCCCCCGTCTCCGACGAGCCACGCTGCTCTCTCCTCTCTCTCCAAGCAAGACATTTCCGACCGTACCACCCCATTAATCTCCCTTCTCTTCTCCTCCAACCGAGCCGCCGCCCCTCCTTTCTTACCACCCTTCTTTCCCCTTCTGACCACGCCGCCAGCCCCTCCTCTCACTCTGAAGGATTCAATTACGGGCTAGAGAGGTAAGATTCATCATGCGAATATATATATATATATATATATATCTCCTGCCATTAAATCTTCCAACAAATATATATTATAGAACACTACTTAATTATTTGATTTGATATATTTTATTATTGAAAAGGAGAATTACATAGCTCCAGTAGTACTGGCTAGTTAGTACAGAAGAGGCTCAGGCTTAGGTAGCTTATAATATCATGTATTTATTATACAATACAAAAGAGGTCTAGCAAGTGCGAGTGCAGAAGCAGCGATGACGAAAACCCCGACATTTGCCACCAGAGAAACCTTCGTTTTTACAAACTATAGCACAATTGTGGTCTACGACGCATGCTCCTTTGAAGTTGTGACTCTGCGATTCGCACAACCTTCCCTCACTTGCCACTATCATCTCTTCTGCATCACCATACATTAACACACACGCCTTTAATTAATTAACTAGCTTAATATTTAACATCTATATTAATATATATATATATGTATATATGTATATATATAAGATACACACACACACACACCCCCCAAACCTAATTGATGAGTTTAAGTCATACAAACAAAAATTAATTAGATAATGCATATAATTGATATACACATTACACGTATATATGATCTTACGAGATGCCAACAGAATGAATATTATCAATATGTGATCTTACGAGATGCTAAGAGAATGAAGAGCAAGAAAACAACTCCAAAACATTTCCTCTCCATCACCATATTGTTGTACGATCTTCTGTCTCCTATATCTGTTGGATGAGCAGCTCTTACTTATATATGTATGTGTGTATATACTCAAACACAACCTCGCAGTACTATAGTACTATTGTATAGATATATATACACACATCGACATGCATGACACGCTAGCTGGTACATAGCTTTTATGCACGCATCTACATAACACGTAGGGCAAGGCCTGCATAAGCATGATCTGGACGTGTCAGTATAGAAATTACATGCATGCATGCATTGCATTGCATTGCATGCTATCATCAGCCACGAGTCACGGCATTTCTGAATAATGCGGGACTCCTCTTTTGGCTTCATCAGTCTTTGCCAGCTGGATTCCTATCCAGTGCTACTGCCTAGATCTAACAAATGAAATATTGCACAAAATCCATTTTCACATTATTCAGCTTAATTATATCCATAATGTTTCATCACCATTTTGATTACTCATGACCTGTGATTAAATCTGAAACTATTCTGTGTAATTATGCCATCGCTCAAACACGAGGTATGTAGATAGAACATATATAAAAGAAAGAGCTTTAACTCTGTATACCAATTATTCTGTATTTGAATAATCAACGGCAACGGCACCATTGTCGTCCGTAGAATCAACGACAACGCCATCGTCTTATGTTTGTAATGATTATTTGTCGTATTGTTACTATCACTTTACGTTGACAAAACTAAGTGATACACTTTTTTAAACCAACACGTAATGTTACAATTCTTATTCTCTCGCAATGCTACCATTTGTACAGTCTTACATTCGTCACGTGATAATTTTGTTGATCTGCGTGCTTTAATTGTTTTTTAAATCACGTATTTTTTATGTTTCGATTATCATAATGTCGTAAAATTACTAGACCTAATTTGAAATAATTGTTTATATTATTGATACACGGCTAAATCGAGTGAGGTACTAATAATAACACTGAAAAATAAAGTGAGATGAATGACATCAGCCGTGGAGAATGACTTGTCCAACCCAGATGAGTAAACAGCCTTTATCCACAGTAGTTGCCAGGATTAATGGGCCGATCACTTGTTAAATTTAAGGCTCACGTAGGCCATATTGGAACAGGCCACCCAGCTCTGGAACTTGGGAGGCCCAAGCTGTAAGCTTCTTGGAGTATATCAGACCGAAGACTATAGGGCTGTCGTAAAATCGAGGACGTAGAAAAAGAAAAAAATAAATAACAGAAAAGGAAAAACTGAGAAACTTGATTTCATTTCCTTAAAGGTTAAAAAAACATCATTTTAAATCAAAGCTCAACTAAATCTCTAGGCACTTTGAATTATATATATTTCGTTCCTTCTTTACTTTATGTCATTCTCTTAAAATTGTCTCCTTATTTTAATTTTAGAGGAATAAAAACGTCATAAGTGTAAGTATTTTTGAGAAGGGACGTTAATCTTTATGACCTGCATTAAGGGGCAATCCTCTAAGGAGATGATTCTTCTTATGTTTTTCAGGATTCATATTAGTTGACTCATGAGAAGTAATTTTATAAGTTTAATTCTGCATCAAAATACCTAGTCTCATTAGAAGTTAAGTCGTTTAATTAGAGCAAGAGAAAAAAAAAAAAACAACATTTTTAAAATCATGTCAAAAAAGTAAAAAAAAAAAAATTATAAATCATATCAAAAAAGTAAAAAACATTTGAAAAATCATATCGAAAAAGTTTTTAACCAGGGAAAAAAAAAACTTAAATATGGAGATATTCGAAAGGGAATTACTTTAATTAAAGTAAAGTGAGGAAAAAAAATATTTCAAAAAGGAATATTGTAAAAAAAAAATGTAACGGTCAAAAATGTTAGAGAAAAAAGTCAATAAGCAAATGAAAAAATAAAAAAAATAAAACAATGAGAAGAGGAAAAGTTAAAAAAGAAAAAAAAAAGGAATTAAAGATTATATAGAATTTTTGATAAAAAAAAAAGTAGGGACATATTCGAAAAGTATTCTTTTTAATTAAAAAATATTTCAAAGAAGGATAATGTATAAAATAAAAAAATTCTCAAAGAATATTAAGAGAAAAAATAAAAAGACAATAGGCAAAAAAGAAAAAAGAAAAAAAATTAAAAAAAGAGAGGAAAAGTTTTTTTTTTTTTTTTTTAAAAAAAAAAGAGGAAATGTTTAAAAGAGAAGGAAAAAATAAGAAGAAGGAGGAAGCTAACACGCGGCTTCCTAAGTCAACTTTGCTTAATAGACGTTAGATGTTAGATTGGATATATAAATATTCATGAAAAGAATAAACTATAAAAGAGCTCTTGACAACATAAAAAATTTAAAATAATAAAAATAAATAAAATCATAAAAGAGAAAAAGACATGTAAAAACAAGTAAACTGTAAAAAATTCATAAAATAAGGAATAAAAGAAAAAACATTTAAAAAATAAAATAATAATAAAAGTAGAAAAATATAAAGGAATAAAGAAAAGAGGATGGAAGGCTACCATATGATAGCCTGAAAAGTGCTATGAGGGAGCATTATAGAAAAAAGTGTGTAAATATAATTTTTAATATAATAGGAATTATACGAAAAATAATTAAGTGTCTGCACATTTAAAAAAAATTATTTAACCATTAAAAATAAATAAATAAAAATATATGTAAAAGAAATTACGTTCATTGGAGCAAAGTTAGTAAAAAAAATTTTAAAAAAAATTTACGTAAACTAAAAATAAAAAAACCAAACATTTTTTTAAAAAAAGAATAAAGATAAAAATGTAAAGAAAGGGAAAAAAAAAAAAGGAAAAAGAAAGAGGAGAAGATGTCACGTGGCAATGGCAATCTAAGAGAATAGTACTATTTAATAGCTTTTGACTCTTTTATATATTGTTAAATTAGATTATATTAGATTACTTATCTCTCTTCACTTCTTCTCTTTACATATTTTTTTAATGATTATATTTTATATCTACATTGAATTTGATTTAAAGGTCAATAAGGTATAGAGTTGTAAGTTTTGACCGAGTTAAACATGTCGGCTCGAGGTCCATCTGAGTTAAACCTTTTAAATTTAAGATCAGACTGAACTAACTATCTCTTTTTTAAAAGTTGAGCCAAGCCAACCCAAATTTTTCTTTTAAGCCATTAGGCCGAATCAAGCAGCCTAAACTTACACCTCTAATACGGTGTCATTATATAATTTAACCATGAAAACTGTTCTCTGGAGTCTTGAGTAATTGATATTTTGTTTTACTTTCATGTTTCAGTTGACTTGTTTTTGCTGATTGGTAATTGGTGGGTGCGGGTCTTTTTCAGGCAGAACATGCCACTAATTAATAATGACAGAATTCATTGTGTGCATGGACTCTAACACTTGGCACATGCACCTCCCCAATCGCATCACATGCAACGCATATATTATTCAAATCGGTTATTACTTCAATACCCTTATCTCTATATAGTTTATTTCTCATCACCTTGCCAAATAAGTAATAATGAGATTTCTTTTATGGGAATATGTCATTTTATTAATTACAAATTATATTATTAAGTACAACACGATTAATAAAAAACGGAACTGAATCAAACTAAAATTTATTAACAGAACTTCTAAAAGCGTGATTAACTAATGTGTGAGCGATATTATTTCTTTGACAATAAATGTAACAAACACAACCACAACGAATTTGTAAAATAACGTCTCTTATGTCTTGTGAAATACTCGGCTCCAAATGAGATATGCTTAACAAAAACTAAAGTGATATAAAAAGGCACATAACAATGTCTGGACTCTGGACTGATTTTTTAATATCAATTATGCAACATATATAATTTTAGGTTAAGTACGGCTGCCGTGTGGTACGATAAATGTAATATTTTTCGTATAAACTTATAGTTTTTTTTTAGTGTAACAGATAATACTGAAACAACTATAATGTAAAATGATAAAAAAAAACGATTATTTTATTTGAGTGTCACACTCACCTACACTCATGTGGGACGACACAATATTTGACAGTTCATTTTATTTGAACGAGTAAAAGCAATTCTTCCGTAGACATTCCAAAAAGAAAAGGAAAAAAAAAAAAAAAAAAAGACTTTCTCCGTGAGCCTCTCTATCAGTATGTTAATTTATAACTGTTAAATTTAATTAAAATCATATTAGATTAAAAATGTGCATAACATATAATTTTTTATGAAAAGTAGAAAACTACCTGTAATTATTTTTTCTTGTCATACGAAAAACTCTTAAAAAAAAACTCTAACTTGACTAAAAATAAGTAAAGTAGGCTAAAATATGATTTTTTTCAACTAAGGCGTAAAATATATATTTACACTTTGAAAAAGAAAAAATCATTTAAAAAAGATACTAGTTAGTAGTTACGTATCAATTGAATGAATAAAGAAAGACAATTAATGCTTGAAAAATTAATTTTGGGTTTAGGATCAATTACAAAAATTTCTCTTGAATTATATGTCTTGTAATACATTGACACCTCATCTTTAAAACGTAACGTTCATTCTCCCTAAAAAATGAATTGTAACAAAAAATCTCCCCCGGTTAAGTTTTTAACTGAAATTGACATTTAATTTACTATTTTGAAGATATTTTAATAATTCTATGATTTAAAATTTAATTTAAATTTAAATTAATTGAACTATTAAAAAAAACTTCATAAATTCTTTTTAGTCTACCAACAAAAATTTATAAAATTTATAACTTAAATTGAATCAATAGTGGATGTATCATAATTAAAAATTTAAATTTAATAATTTTAAAATTCAAACTAAATCTTAAACCATAGAACTACTAAAATACTGTAAAATAACAAATCACATGTCAATTTTCCTTAAAAAAAACCTAACGGAGAGAACCTTTTTGTTAATATTTCATTATTCGAGAGAAATAGATATTACATTTTAAAGATAGGGGGTAAACTGTTACAAGTGGTATAATTTATGAGGAATTTTCATAATTAATCCTTAGGATTATGGTGTAAACATAGCGAGAAGAGGAGATAATATATAAAGGAATTTGCCTTAAATAAAACCAGCACGAGAGGAAAATGCATCCAAAGGAAATGGTGACAATTCTTGTTAGTGG